GTAAGTTTCGTCGGTACGAAGTTACGGAAAATAAGTTAATTAAAAAACGGAAACGTAACAATACGTTAAAATGGCGTTTACGGTATTATTACACCAAAGTTTGTTATAAGCTTTCAAAAAAGTACGCGTATTTTTTTAAATGAGATTTTGGTATGGTTAAATTAAAATTCAGCAGGGGAACAAAACTAAACCTGGAGAAGAAGAGCTTCCGCCCGAAAATTTGTGCATTTTAAAAATACGATCAATTAACTTCTGCTGAAGTTTACTATAACTTATACCATAGTTTTTTAAACTTTAAAAGTGAGTGTTCAACACGATGCTTTGTTATTTGACTTGCACTGTATACTTATAATGTAGGCCTACACTAAAGTAAGTAATTAAATTAGTAGCACTGACTGGCTGTCATTTTTGGCCTAGTGTCGATGGTGGTTATTAAACGTGTGTTATTTTGGACAATAAAAGTTTTAAAAAGTATTTACTACAAATTCTCAAAAACGACAAAACGTACTGTTTTGACTTAATCAAAGATAGGTTATCGGGCATGTAGTTAGCGGACTGATGTAGGTCCACTGTTTTAGTAGCAGCCAGTAGTAATACTTCGTTTCCAAAGTTTAGTGATACTCTGAGTATAAATATTAATTTTGTTTTATATTCTGATTTGAAGGTTAGAAGTGGACAGTAAAAATAAATAATAGTTATAACTTATCCACAGTGGAAGCTAACTAACACTGTAACAGTAACAATAATAAACTATAGATCAGAGGTAAAATTATATAGTAAATGCAGTTTAGTTAAGCTCAAATTATTAAATCCTAGTACTTAAATGTTGTCATCAGAAGACAAACCTACTAACCAAAGGGCTTTCAGAAATGCTTGGGTTATTAGATTTTTCTCCTGATCCTGTGTGCCTTGGAATATCATGACTTAATTGTTATCAATAGTAGTATCATAACTGTAAATATGAAATTGACTATAGAACACTAGAAGCACTCAATAAAATGTAATAATAATGATAATGCAGGAATCCTCACAGTTTTAATTTGAATAATACAAGTTTCAGTCCAATATCTTGCAAGACTCATCCAGCTTGGGATATATTTTATTATTCAGTTGTCAAAAACATTTTAACTAATTATTTAAAAGTGTGGAGAAAGCCGATTGTGAAACTTTGTACTCCATAAATGGTATTAACCCTATATTGTATTATCATTACAAGCAGTGGATTGAAGCTGACTAGTTTAAATTTTTGCATTAAATTTTTCGAGAAACTAATTTTCATTCAACCAGTATGACTTCTCACCATTGCATCTCTTCCTGGTGATTGTGATTTTTTATAAGGAAATAATATATATATATAACTAAAATTAAATGATTACTTTCCATTATCAGTCTTAGTTGTCAACATTAAGTCATAACGGATGTCTGTGATCATAACACCCAAATGTGTTGGGGATATTCCATCTATCAGACATCTGGATTTTGTCTGTGATCATAACACCCAAATGTGTTGGGGATATTCCATCTATCAGACATCTGGATTTTGTCTGATAGATGGAATAACCCCAATGCATTTGGGTGTTATGATCACAGACATTATTTATTATGACTTAATGTTGACAACTAAAACTTGTAATGGAAAATAATTGTTTAATTTTAGTTCTGTTGTAATGTTTCTTTTATACTAAGTTTATTATTGTTTTTTTGTGCTAATTTAATCATATATTGACAATTAATGTAACTGATAGTATTAAGAGCTATTTATTTATATATATATAAGAATATTTTAAGGATTTCTTTTATGTGTTTATCTTCAATACAATTAACCAGTTAAAAATAAAGAAACTATAAAATGTATAATTCCATGATGTTATACAATCATAATGTAAAAATTTGATGTTTTTCTTTAGATTTTTATCAAAGAAAAGTGAAAGATCGGTATTAGGTGAACAGAAGGTGACATCAACTTCATATATGAACTGAGATGGTTTTATTCAATTTTACATTTTCATTATGATCATAAGAACCTTTCTGCTTTGCATAATTCCTTTGGTAGCTGTAGCAACCAATACAGGTAAGAAAAAAAACAAAAACAATACACATATGTATGTATGTTTGTAGAAATAATCATGTACAAAAACTGTATTATATGAAAGGTTAAACACAGTTTAAGTATGTTGTATATTAGAAAGAAAAAACCAAAAAAAACCAGTAGTAAAAATACTTGAAATTATACCCTGTGTCTGAATGCTGTAGAAAAAGTTTTTATTATATTCTCATCAAGAAGATAAATGCATTCTGAATTTTCACATATTTCTGTGGTTGCCAAAATTAATTTGTATCCAAGGTCAGGTAGAGCATAAAGTTTGAGGTTACTGCAAATAACTTATAGTTTGAGTGTACAGTTCAATTTGTTTTAGTTTTTTTGTATTTATTGCCAAGAATTAGCTAGAAACTTATAACAGCATTCATGTATAGCTATTTGTCTCAGCAGTTGTATGTTTATCTTTTAAACAAGCATTTTTTTTTAATACATGTATTTGATTAATCTATAATTATCATATCTAATTTTGGAGAGCAAATTTTATAAAATTTTCAATACTGTTTTTACGGATTTACAGAACAAACGTTTTTGTTTTTTATTTCACGATATTTCACCAGGTTAACCTGGAATCATCAGGTGATTTACATAAAATGGAAGTATGTTTAAACTTAAGGAAAGTATGTGAGCATCAAGGATGATGAGTCAAACAATTGTAACAGACAATAGTATTTAAACAGAATATTATTGTTTCAATGTAAAACATGATGAAATACTAGCTGAAGTACCCATCCTCTGGACAGAAGTTATGTTAAATTCATGATTAATGAAAGGATATCTTAGGATGTGAAAAGTTACTTCCCTTATATGTAATTGTAAGAAATGTAAAAATGCCCATAAAAACTGCAAAGCATAAAATTTGAAACCTCATATTTGCATGTATCTCCACATGCACCAAGCCAAATGAGAAAGGTTGAGAAACATAATTATTGTTTACTTTAGTTATTAATTTTTCATGTTTCATGTTCAGTCACAAATTGAAAGGCCTAGGCCTAACACAATACAAATGAATTTTTGATTTAGTATAAAATAGCAAATACAGATGGACAGTTATTAGCAGTTGATTAATTGGTTATCAGTTTGTTTCATTAGTGGAGCATCCCTAATGAGGCCTAGATAATAATAATAATAAAAATGTGTGAGGTATACTCTGATGGTCATCCACTTTCAGAGTATCTAATGGAACCAGAATTTAACTTATTCTCATTTTGAGAATGTTAAAAAAGTCTATGAAAAACAAGGTTGTATTAAGTTGTTTTACTGCAGATAATAATGTAAATAATGTTTTGTTTTTTTATTTAATATTAAAAAATGTTCCAGAAAGTCTTTCGCACACTTCAACCATCCATAGTTTTCGACATTCAAGTTTGCAGCACCATTCTGAATCAACACTGAAACCTGCAGTAAACATTAGCAATGGTTCTACCACAGATTCTGTGTTTGATACTTGCACCACACACATTCATTGTCGGGAACTTCCTGTTCAGTGCATAAACTGTAGACTCAACGAGACATGCATCTATGGAGAAAAACTCCAAGTGGAATGTCAAGCTAAAAATCATGCAACTTGTCAGGTAAATAATAATTATCTATAGAAGCTTAATTTGTCATTCCTCACACTAGGTAAAAATAAATAATTCTCATAAAACTTACCAGTCATATAAGTGACATTTATTCAGGTATAAAAAGTTCACATTACAAAACATTTTGGGCATTTTCTTAATCATTTTTCTAACATTAACTTCTTTAGTCAGTAACTGTCACTTAAAAGCAAACTGTGCTTCAAACATAAAAGTATCTGGTCATCCGACTTATTTTGGGTGATTGTACTATTTTTGGTCAGCTAATGTCGGATGACTGTTTTATCCATTTGTAATTTAATTCATCAGACTTAGAAAACAGAATACAGTGAAACCTTCTTAATCCAAATTAGTTCTGGATTATTAAGACATCTGTATAATCGAATCTGTCACTTTGAATAAAGTGAACACTATATTAATAGCATACATCTTCTTCTTCTTCTTCCGTAGCTTTTTCCCGTATATATACGGGGTCGCTATTTTCGATTTTGGCAGGGTTTTTACGGCCGGATGCCCTTCCTGATGCCAACCATCCCCTAATTTAGCAGTGTAAGACTAGAGGGAAGGCAGCTAGTAATCACCACCCACTGCCAACTCTTGGGCTACTCTTTTACCAGCGAATAGTGGGATTGACCGTCACGTTATAATGCCCCCACAGCTGAAAGGGCGAGCATGTTTGGTGGGATGGGGGCGCGAACCCGCGACCCACAGAGTGCTAGTCGAGCGTCTTACCCACCTGGCCATGCCGGGCCTTTTTAATAGCATACATCATGGACTGATAAATATAAGATAGTAAACTATTAAGGGTTGACATGCAACTGGTAACGAAAAAGCATCTGTATGTACAATAAGCTTGCCAGTTTATTATTACACATGCCACCAGTAATTATATAAATTGCATAATCAGAGTGACATATTATATCGTTATCTTCACATAAATTATCATTTTATTCAAACCATTGGCTTACTTATAGAATTCAAAATACACAGTACTGGTCAAGCGTACAATAAATAACTTTCCAAACAAGGACGTAATCAAAATCTCTTTTTGAAATTTTTTTTTTTTCTTTTGAAGCTTCTCAGCAGCTTTAAGCATTTAGCACATTGTGGAGCAGTGTGACTTGATATGAATGTATCTTAAGTCACTCTGAAAACCTCTCAAAAATCTCTTTTTGAAATTTTTTTTTTTTTCTTTTGAAGCTTCTCAGCAGCTTTAAGCATTTAGCACATTGTGGAGCAGTGTGACTTGATATGAATGTATCTTAAGTCACTCTGAAAACCTCTCAATATCTGGGATAGTTTATACATATGTACCTACTGTGAGGTCATTCTCAGAAAAGGTGTTCTAAACCACCATCTACTGTGAGTGCAATTGTTTTGTGTTCAGTAATTATTACTTCATTTCCTGTCCCGCTGATCTCTACTCAATTCTCTTGGAGTCTTGTATGGATTACTGAATCATGTATCCGTAGAAGATGCATGTTTCTTAAGGAAATAATTGTTAAGTTTTGGAACATTCTTAAAGAGATTGTTGATCTCTGAACTAACAAGGTTACACTATTAAGATTGTTTTCTGTCTTTGTATGCTACAATTTCAGCTAACTGTTTACTTTGTTATGGCATTTTTTTAAGCTATATATATTTTTTTTTTGAGAAATGTGTATGTAATGCTTTTTACTGAAGGATCAAACAAGAATAATGAAAAATCATTTTGACCAAATGTATCTTGTAGTTTTGCACTTTTTTGTGTGTTATCATTATTTGAAATTATTTTACTTATAAAATAAGCAAGGTAGCTTTACGTTATTACTAATAAAAGTGTGACTCAATTAGAATCACTGAATTCTAGTTTTAAGTAAAGTTCTCTGAAGCACTGATTTGTTTTTAAGTCTATTATAGATATTTCTTCATATATTATTAAATTTCGCCAGGTGGTTAGGGTGCTCAACTCACAATCTGAGAGGCTGTGGGTTCAATTCCCCGTCCCACCAAACATTCTCACCCTTTCAGCCGTGGGGGCGTTATAATGTCACAGTCAATCCCACTATTCATTGGTAAAAAGAGTAGCCCAAGAGTTGGCAGTGGGTGGTGATTACTAGCTGCCTTCCCTCTAGGCTTACACTGCTAAATAAGGGATGGCTAGCACAAATAGCCCTCATGTAGCTTTGTGTGAAATTCAAAACTTGTGTATCAATTAGTGATTCATCATTGTTTTATAGATTCTAATTTAGAATAAAAGATGAGTATTTTGAGATTGTATATATATATATATTTGTTCAAATCATGATATTACAAGATTTTTAAAGGTCTAGAGTATATATACCTATAGTCCCATACTTTACTCTGTTAGATACTATTTCAGCTCATCTTAACTGTGTACCTTTTGCTAAAAAAAGTCTTGCATACCATCGTGAGATTCATATTTGTTGTTGTGCATGCTGGAGAAGATTAAACTACAATTTTCCATAATAAAATCTCTCAGACTAGAATTAGAATGTGTGAATTGTTTGAGAATACAATTTTTATACACATATATATTTTTTATTTTAGGGAAACAACGTATTTTACAAAGAAATGATTTGTCGCTATTGTTACCAGACCAATTCAGATGAGCATACATGTGTCAAGAATACAACTTGTAGAGTAGTGAGCACACCCAGACAGCAGTATATTACTCAGTGTAAAGTACATGATCATATTCTGTGCTTAGGTAGGTGCAAAGACAAGTAGATTGAGGCTGGAAGGTTTTTTTTATATTGTTAATCTATGCCTTTCTAATTGGCATTATTGGTTTTATATATATATATATATTTGTATATTTACCACATAGTGGTTTTTACATTAAGTCTCTTGAGTAAAACGATTATGTATTTTCAGTGTGTTAATCCATAACAAGAGAGGCTTGTATTGTAAACATCTCTCTGTAATATGAGATGTAGTGTTGCAACTAAATGGCTGGCTATGAAAAATGATGTTTTTTAGGCCATTTAGGCATAGATTCTGTAAGAAGCCTAAAGCAACTAATTTAATTTTAATTGGTATAATTATTTAAGTGTTGTTTCAATACTCAAGTGTATATTCATCTCATTAAGAATATTAATTTAAAGTCGGGTGAAATTCTAAAAAAAAGTAGAGCTACTCAGCTGGGTGAAGTCGACCTGTTTTTGAAAATGAAAAATAAAATTTGTGTGTAAATATAAAATCAACTCAAATAAGTCCCGTGTAAAGTTACCTCTACATTAATAGTATTATTTCATTAGAAGCATATATTTATCTGATAAAGGAATGTTTTATATTTCAAACATTTTTTTTTTCATTCACTAGGTTAAAAATGGTCTTCAGTTAAATTTTTAAGGTATAAATTAATAGATGAAATAGTTTTGCATCATTGTAAAAAGTTTCTATAGTTAAAAGTTTTGAAGTTCAAAGTCAGTAATATTTTCTGCAGATGGAATTGCTGGTTTCATGGTAGAAGAAACAAAAAAGCTCTGTAAAAGATTGATGTACAAGGAAATTGTTTTTCTTTATCTAACTGCAGCTCATAGAATGGCTCCGAGTTTGTTTTTTGTTTTTTCAAGTACAAACTTTTAGCTCACAGCTCTGCCATCTCTTGACCGATTTGAGATCTAATTACAGTTTTGAATTCAGGAGTCCAAACCATTTCAGTTGATGTATTTGGCCACTCTCAAGGTCTCATAAATTTATTCTATTCCTGCCTAAAATAAGTTAAATTTGAGGGTAAGGCTGGTAGAGATCCTGATGAGTAATAAAATTGAATTGGGTATATGTGAACCCCATGCTTGTTATTGCTGGTGCACAAAAATATAGTTAATAAAAAGGGAAACAAAGGTCTCGGAGATTAATTTACTCTAATCTTACCTAAAAGAATTTCAGGTGCTGTGGCTATTGAGTATTCCTTCTTGTTCAAGTATGAATGCTCTTTCATTTATACATATTTATGTATTTCAAATGTTCTTGTAGCAGTATCATAGCCTTCTGTTCACAGTTTTTTTGCTATGAGTGTTAAACAAGTAAAGGTTCAAAAAGTGGAATTCTTTAGCTTTGTTTATTTCTAATATATGAAAGTGACAGTTGCATACATACACTTTAACTAGTATTATTGCTCTTTTTAACTTGCTATTAGAAATCTTTATCTGGTGATTAGGACACTCAATTAGCAATCTGCAAGTTCAAATCCTGTCACTGAATATGTTTACCCCTTCAGCTGTAGGAATATTATAATTGTAACAGTCAGTCTTACTCTTCGAGAGTTGGCAGTGGGTGACGTTGACTAGCTGCCTTTCCTCTAGTCTAACACTTCTAGATTAGAGATGCCTAACACAGATAGCCCTCGAGTAGTTTTGTACAAAATGCAATAAACGAACAAACATTAGAATTATTGACAAAGAATACTGCTTTGAAGAAGCAGTAATATATACATATGTATAGTTTATAAATAAAGATAAAGTCAATTAAGTTAATTTTCAAAACTAAGGGAAGAAGAGTTTAGTGCAGTAGCTGGATAGCCCACTTCTGTTACTAGTAATAGGTTGTTTTTATTTTCGAAAAATCTTGAAAAGTCCATACACAGATGTAACTTTGTAAGTGGGGCATCTTTAAAAAGATACCTCTTCTACCATGACACATTTTACAGTAGCCACTCATGCTTGTGCCTTGATATTTTATTGGTGTTTTCGCTGTTCAGTGTGAAAAGTATTCCATCTAATAATTACAAAAAATATTTGTATGATTTTTTGCATCTGTCACAGTACGATTTTAGAGAAGCTATAACTTGATGTGTTGTGAACATCAGTATTTTTAAATGTTGTTCTAAACCAATAGTTCTCAGTTATTGGTCTACAATGAAAAAAGAGAAAGGGAGAAATATAGTGTTTGTGAAATTATAGCTTATACTTAGGTAAGAAATAGGTGAAAAATGTTGTTTCCTTTGAACTTCATAGCTTTCGCTTCAAAACTACTTGAAGAAGCTAAATTAAGAAACAATACTATAGGCTTATAGATTCCTAACAGTCTGTAAGTTTTATACAAAACGTTAGGTTGTGAACCACTGCTCTAAACCAAAGTTTTATTGTACTACACAGGGAACAGAAGATTTGCCAAGAACTTGTTGTGTAATTGGACGAGAGGTTATAGTTGGAGTACAGCTTTGCTTCTGAGGTAAATGTACAGTTATCTCATATTACTGTGCTATTAATGATTTATATCCATGTTGATGGAATTATCAAATCAGATGTGGTTTTACGTTATGAACTATGAAATTACAAACAGTTGGGTTTCATATTATTGCTTATATTAAAATTTGGTGCAAGTATGTTTAGTTTTTGTTACTTCTGTATAAGTTATGATAATCATAGCATATCAGAAAGAAGAAACTGCTGGTCAGCTTTTAAAATTAATAAAGACGGCTTTTATTTAAGTAGTAAAATTGAGATTTAAATATTGTTATTTCGTTACATAAAAAAATACTTACATGTACCCTTGCACTATGAAATATATTTCATTGTGGAGTAACGCCAAGATGTCTGTTCATTGATTATTATTTACTTTTGAATTATGGATTATCTAATTTTCAAATGTGCACTTATTTTATACTTTATAGTCAAACCACTTAAAGAATATCATTACAGAAATTTGAATAATGCACACTATTTAAAACTTTTATATATACATTTTTTAGTGATATAAAAGAAATCAGTAGATTAAATGTTTCCCGTTCATTTAAGAAATTCCAATTCGTTTTTTTGCTAACACAGACTTGATTATAATTTTATATCTAACTGAATAATTAAAAATAAAACATTTGTCTTGAATCGACCTTTTAGAATATTATACGAATTTTATTATTTATACAGCAGCAGGAAGTTTTTTTTTTTGTCTGTTTATTATATTAAATGATTTAGAAGTAAAACAGAATCATTAGTATACGTATATATATTTTATTTAGGAAGAATGCACTTCAATCATTTTTCGTCTAGTTAGTGGTGATACTAATATTTTTTTTTAACTGCAAGGTAATAGATAATTTTCATTACTACACAACCAAAATATTTCAGGGGTACATACAGTGTAGTTTGAATAGAATGCTGTTTCTTTGCAGCATCACACTTGGTGGGTTTGGAGTTGATCGTTTCTATCTTGGGATGTGGCAAGAAGGAATTGGAAAACTTTTTAGTTTTGGAGGCCTAGGGGTTTGGACCTTAGTAGATGCTGTCTTGATTGCCACAGGCTACCTTGCACCTGCTGACGGCTCTCTCTATATAATTTGAGTTGTAAGTAGGTTTACATAATGTTTCTAATTGTTTAAATTTTGTAATGGTGGTGGCTATTATTATTTCTTCTAGTCTATTACAGCATAGTCGTGAACAGTTGTTGGTCTTTTTGCATTATCTAGTCTATTAAAACTTAGTTAACGACAACTCGTAATGGTTCATCTTTTTCTTCTGGTGTGTAAAATGCTGGTTCTTCTTCGTGCTTCACTTACTGTAGTAAAGTATAATTATCAACAGCTGATGGGGGACTCTTCTTGCTACTTCAACTGGTCTATAAAAGCATAGCTAACAACTGATTCCTCTACTTGCATTATCTAGTTTATTAATGTTAACTTAACAAAAGCTTCTGGTGGTGGCTCATCTCTATTTCACCTAGTCTATTAAATCAAAATTATCAACAGCTGGTACGTCGTTCTGGCTATAGTTATCATTAGGTGAGCTTTGTGGTTCTTTTTTAAACTTTCTAATTTAGTAGCATAGAAAAATTGTATTAGTAATGTTAGAAATTGTAGATTTCATTTTTGGGCTTCAGTAACTTGATGGGTTATAAAGATAACACAGAATTTACTCATAGTTATACATCAGTTAAAGTGAGCAGTAAGAGAATTGGTACATTCATAAACTTTACAGTTTAGACATCAAGCACCTATTACAATGTAAAGACAAATAAGAACAATGTTATTTTTAACCTAGTAATTATATTATTTTTTAGGTTATTAAGTTTTAAAATAACTTTCTAAATTGATATTATAAACTTGTTTACATTTTAGGAATTTTCCTGATATCGTAAGATACTGAAGAAATAGGTTGCAGTCATGTGACAGTGGAGAGGTTGTATCGGGACAGTCAGCTTTTATTCATTCCAAGTGTAGACCTAAGTATGTTTCTGAACATTATTACTACAGATGATGTGACCTATCATAACAGCGTGTATTTTATATGTCATTCTCTACTGGTGAAATCTTTGCTTATAATAGTCCAAATACAAAAGTTAAAAATCTATAGCTGGTGTAGCCTCTAATATTTAAACCTCAGTGAGAATTTGTTAGCATTTTATTTATTAAATTTACTTAAAGGAATATATGTTGTCAAATGAAAGTTGTAAATAAATTTTCATAATAGGTTTATGTCGCATCAGTTAAGTGTAATCACATATGTCCACACTTTGCTCTTCGCTACATTAACAACTTACCAAAGACACTGTCAGTGTGAATAAGATTAATCTTGCACATCTAACGTGTAGAACCAAATTTTTGTGATATAACGTGTAGTTCTATGGTTTTATAAAGTTTTAGATAAATTAGTTAATTTGTTTTACAGTATTTTGTTTTAAACATCATCAAAAATATTTCTTTTTAACTGTGATTTCCTTGAGAAGTTAGTGTTTGTTAATAGTAAATTGAAACAGATAACTGACAGAATGCATTTGTATTGTAATTTCTCATAGTATGATACAAAATTTTTAATTGGAAACCATCCAGATAACTAAAAATATTGCTTTAAATTTAATAAAAATGTTGAAGTTTGATAGGTATATGTTTGTTTCTCAAGACAGACACTATATGTTCAAAAATACTAACTTTAGGCCTAATCCAAAAGAAAAATCTATCATAGGTGACTTTGTAAAAAAAAACAACAACAGAAATTTGAATAAATGTTGTTTTATTTCTAGATGAACTGATATTTGTTTTGTAATCAGTAATCATAATTTAATACTGACCATATAAATTAAAATCAACCACATAATTAACACAAACAACCATCAAATTTATAATGAATGAAATAAAAACAGTTAAGTTTGTAAGTCTTTTTAAAGCTCCAACCTGCAGAAATGTGACTTGAGAATAATATATCACTAATTAGGTTTCTGTAAACTGAACTTGTACACCTTCTTAGCAGCATTTTCTCCTATTTCCACTACATACAGTGATGTTCCATCTGGTGACAATGCAAGGTCGTGAGGGTTTACAAAACCCTAAAATGGATAGAATAAATTTATATTTAACTATAAAAACATGGTGAACAAGAACAGAGATAATCCAAAAAATATTTTAAATCATTGTTACTCATAGTTCTAATGGGAAGATGTAAAACTTAAAAATAATTCTGTAACTTGCAAATATTGTCTGTTAACAGATGATTCAGGCCGTAATTATGTATTATTTGTAAAACTGTGATAACTTCCGTTATTAATATTACAAGACCAGTCCTGTAAAAAGAACGTTTTTTTTTTAAATGGTTTAATACATTTCTTTCACTGGGGTTTAAATGTTAGAATCTGTGTAAAGCATGCTAATACACAATCTTTCAAATTCTAGATAAATGAATAATATGAAACTCATCTATCAGAAAAATATTTTTATAACAACAAAACGGTTCTTGCTTGTCTACGTGCTTCCCAGTGTCTGAGTTATATCAACATTTTGTTACTGCAGATGCTTTTACATTTGGAAGTATTTTATAATATTTTTCAGGATCCAGGGCAGATTTTGTAGAAGTATATGATAAAAATTACTGTACTGTACAATTTATACTTGTTCTCAGGAAAGCAATTAATTGTTAATTTGATAAATCACTGAATGAATCAGTTTTGTATTTAGTAATACTAGCTTAAAATTTCAGAGTAAGGACAAGCACTAGTGGGGGCCACCCCCTCTGAAATATCTTCCCTCCTTGCTAATGCCATCTGTTAATATAATTTTAGGTATATTTGAAACTTAGCCCCATTATATGTCTCATTTCTACTATCCCACCCTCTAGTTAAGAAAAGCTTGAGCCAGACAGGTTAATAGAGAATCTTAATTTATCTTTGGGATTAAGAAATGTTGTCCTAGTTATGTTCTATAAATGTCTCAAGCAGGATTGTATGAATGTAAACTACCTGTGGTCAATGTTTTGACCTCCAGGTTGAGGCTTTCTTCAGGTAAAAGTGTTATAGGAAACATTCGGGAAACCAAAAATGTATCTACAAATAGTTCCTGTCTGTATAAATCTATCTGAATGTAACCAATATGCAAAAGATATGTGGCACACAACTTAAAGCAGCTGTGAGCAAAACAATATGAAATATGTAATCTTATATTTTAAGTATTATGAGGCAGATTGTATTTAAATCTTAATCTGGGCTAATCATTATTAATCCTTAATGGATTGTTCATGTTTAAGTAGTTATTCTGTTCAAACAAACATTACATTTTTCTCTACTAGATAGATAATTTTTATCATTAAAGTCACTAGAAGTGTGATTAATCCAGTAGTGGCTTAGAGAATCTTGAGGATATAGATGACAGTAAAATATAAAGATATCAGTGACATTTTTTTAACATGCCAACCATAGACTGATGAAAAAGTTCATAAAAAACTTTTAACTTTTAGGTGAAAATTTAGTAGGAAAAATTAGGAATGTGTTTTTTAGAATTGGTTTTAGAAGTATAGATAAAAAATAAAACTTTTACGATGCATTAAATTTAAATCTAGTATACTTCTAGAGTCAAATACATGATCTCAAAGTTTTTGTGGAAAAAAATAAAGAGAATTGTATTCTAATGTTTTACGGGACAATCTCATTATACGCAGACACAATAAATAATTGCTTTGACTATTAGAGATACAATAAAACATTTACACTCTTAACTAACTGTGGTATAGAGAATTCTCCATAAAAAACAAAAGCTGAGCTACAACATCAAGGTTCTACTAATTCAAAGGTTATCATAACTTTCTAAAGTCATAGCTTACCTAAACTATGTAAGTAGCAGTGTTCAAAATTAATAATATCCCCAGAGACATGGCTATACTACGGCAGTTCAGACAACAATAAATTTTTAAACCTCAGTAGCTCAAATGGTTATCACTTATTAAGAGTAAAAAAAAATATTTTAAGGTCTACTGTGGAAAAAAAAAGAGATTGGAAAAAAATCAATTGATTTGATTTTAAACATTTTTGACTGTTTACATCATTTGTAGAGGTTCTTTTTTGCTTTACTGCACTGATTTTTAATATAAGTGATGAATGTACAGGATGTCCCAGAAATCTGGACCCATTGGGAAATATACATAATTTATTCTTAATGTATTTATTATTCAAATTGCATGCCATTAACAGCCATACACACATCAATTCTTGTATACTGTGCCATAAGGGTATTTTCTTTCCTAAAATATGTACAACTGACATTAAAAATGTGTTTGTTTAACTTTAAGAATATAATAACTAATTTTCCCTATGGGTCCAGACTTCTGGGACACCCTGTACAATAGTTCTTAGAACAGTCTGCAGAATAAAATGTGGAGTTATCTAAGAAGTGTAGAGTCACCACCTAAAAAACAAAACGTGTCTTAAGAAACTGATGCAGAAATATAATAGGTAACTAAAGCAGAGTACTGTGAATGTAACAACTAAGATAAAATTATGTTTTTTCTACATTGTTACTCTGGTTTTATAGCTCGGATATTGTGATAGTTTACGTTGCGGTCTGAACTGATTTCTAACACATTTAACTTTTTCCACATCTTTCTCTATTACCATTTTAAAATAAAGAACAATTTTGATGAGTAAATACAATGCAGCTGAATGAAAGATTTTTTATTGTTATCGCTATTCTCAATATATGGGTCTACGGAATATTTGTATCGAATAGCTCCAGTGACTCCGAGAGCAAAAATTAATTTTGAACACTGAAGAAGTATTAGTTGTTAACTTGAAAATATTAGACTCTTTACTGAAGTACTACCTCAACTGGGCTCCAACTGTTCAAGATCTTTTTGGTTGAGAGACTGAGGGTGAGACCATGTACAGGATGTTTTCCTATTATTCCTGGTCCCTGTACCATGTATAGATGATCATCTGTAGGAGTAACAGAACACTAGTTAAATTATAACGATAATTTGCAACAGAAGACATCCATTACCCATGTATTTCCATCCTTTTTTAAAAGCTTAATGTGATAATTACTTAACATGATAATTATACAACGATTATGTTTACAACCTTGTACAACCATTTCCTGTATGAATGCAATTCTATGTGAGAATCAAGTTTGTTTAAAAAAATCCTAACAATCGTGATTTTGTTTATCAAACAGGGGGTTGGCCATGACAAACCCCCAACAGAAAAAAAAAGCCACAAGGTACAGCACAAATATTAAGTCAAGACTAAGCTGTATTTCTCTGATCACTAAATCAGTTTAACATTACAATACATGTGTGTGACGTAAAAGTATATAAAATTTAATTGAATTAGTAACTTTACTGGGAGTTTGCTATAGCCCTCTGTATATTCCTTAAAGAGCTAACCAGACATTAGTTTAAATACCATTGACAAAACTAAATTGTGTAGTAGCTTTAATGATTTCTGTTTATTACAATACACCCCATGTTTAGGGCTGATGGGGCAGCTGACCCAGGGTCTGTTGAGGGGCCCGGCAATGAGATATTCTAAAGCTCACTAGAAATGCATATTACAATATGAGCTAAAATGGCTACTGCTTTTTCATGGATTCACAAAGAAATCTGTCACCTAAATTTCTTTTATGAAAAATCAGCAAAAGTTAATAAATAGAATGAAAGCGGGGCCCGATAATATTACCGACCTCGGAGCCCTGGCTGGCTCTCGACGCCCCTGCCCATGTTTACATAATAAATGCTGCACATTGACCCTTTAAAACCCTAGTCAGGAAATCAAACTATATGTTTTTACTTGTGTAAGTAAATTTCATAAAAATATAAAAGGAAATCTGACCAGTCATGGGTGAACATAAAGTCTTGTAAACATTTATATTATAACTGTTTTAAGCTCTATTACATGTAGTACTTACATTGCTTCTGATATAATGTATTGAGTTCTAATAATCTTACTAACTATATATGTTTTCTCCTAAATATGACTCCAGTGGTAAGTAGGCCTGGTGGTTAGAATGTTCACTTACAATCTGAGGGTCATGGGTTTGAATCCCCGTCACCAAACATGCTTGCCTTTTGAGCCATGAGGGTATTATAATGTGATGGTCATTCCCACTATTCCTTGGGAAAAGAGTTAGCAATTGGTAGTGTTGACTAGCTACCTTCCCTCTAGTCTATCACTGCTAAATCAGGGATGTCTAGAACACACAACTCTTGTGTAGCTTTGCACAAAATTCAAAACAAACCAGTGGTAAGCTTGAGGGCCTAAATTGTTCAAATTCAGGGTACAATCTCTAAGATGGGCACAGCACAGGTAGCCCCAAGGTACAGCTTTGCGCTTAACAATAAACAAACAAATTATCCTAAAGATGTGAAGCCTACAAGAGTGATCTTCTATTTAATGAAGAGAAACAGCCAATATCAAATTAAGTTCTTTATTTATTGAGTGCTTTTACCTTATGTCTTTATCAAGAGTAGACACTACTGAACACAAGCCCAGTGCTACATAAATTCTAATAGATGTTTTTTTTTTTTACTGCACGTTATGATTAAATTTATTTTGTGTCCAAAACTCCCACCCTGATTTTGAGTCGTCACCTCTTTCAGTTAAATATGCAACACTATCGTGAGTGACATTTTAAAAATAATAATAATATTTTAGGCTGATGTAAATAGAAGTTAATGCAGAAGAAATAGCAAAAAATGTTTCAATGGATAGAGACAGTTTTTATTCAGTAGTCAGATACTTTATAAACTTTAAATGCCAACTGTTTGTAGTAGATAAGTATACTTAGCTGTTTTTAATAAAACATACACAAACCTCTTGCTGCCACTGCAAAGACGCGTCCCAGGTTTTTGTGAAAGTTTTTAACAAGAAGACCAGGAGAAGACCCCTGTAGACCTGCACTGTAACAAAGAATTCTTTCATTTTCTCTGTCAGCTACACAGAGAATATCCAGATTTTCTAATAAAGTCAAGCTATGTGGAACCAGCATGTCATCTATAAAAAAAAGAAAAGAAAAGAAAGAGTGTGAAATGATTTAATGTTATCAACATCCTGTTGTTAAAAAAAACAAATTTTAAACATCTTTCATTTCAGGTAGGATTTTAAAACTTAAACTACAAAAATTCAAACAGTTGTGGTGTAATTTATATGGTTTGCTCCAGTTAGGACGATGAGATGGTTTAATACAAGTGCTTTAAGTCGGTTGTTATGGTTAACTTCAAATGGTTGTAAGTACTTGGTATTGTTATTCAAGGAATCAAGTTTCAATAATTGAGATATATTTAAAAGTAATGCTGTTGTTCGGGTTAGAAAAGGAAGAAACTTTATTTTTAAGTTGTGTAATTTTTATTTAGATATTGTTATTCTGTTCCTTAACTGTTATTTAAATTTTTGTTTTATCTTTTATAATAATTTTTCCTAACTAAAGTCAGTACTTTATCACACTTGCTGTATCAAAAATGCACAAGATATAATTACTACAAGGTACTTAAAAGTTTTGTCCCTGCAGTTGATGGAGTGCAGATAGCCCATTGTGTAGTTTTGTTTTAAGAAAATAACAACCTTACAAATTTGTCAAAAAAATGTTCGATAGATTCTGACACTTCAAGATCGTGACTCAAAACAGCAAATTAAGAAGATATTCTTGATAGTAGATGAAAAGTTTGAATATCCTATTATATCTGAATGTTTCAAGAATAGCTGAGTAACTTTTAAGTTCCAATGTATACAATGTCGGTTTTTTCTGTACATAACTTGATTCATAAAATCAGTAGTCATAACAATTTCTTGTATAATATGGTCTTAATCAACAGCATCGTCTGCCATTTTCATGTTTGGGTTTCACTAAGGTGTAAACGAACCATGATCCTTGTAAGACATATCATGTGGGATCATATCATTGCTTTCACTAAGGTGTAAACGAACCATGATCCTTTTTGTAAGACATATCATGTGGGATCATATCCTTGCTTTCACTAAGGTGTAAACGAACCATGATCCTTCTTGTAAGACATATCATGTGGGATTGTATACTTGCTTTCACTAAGGTGTAAACGAACCATGATCCTTCTTGTAAGACATATCATGTGGGATCATATCCTTGCTTTCACTAAAGTGTAAATGAACCATGATCCTTCTTGTAAAATAAATCATTTTACATGGGATCATGTCCTTGTTTACAGTAAACAAGTCTCATACAATTTAGAGAGTAAACCACCATCTTATCTGCTAAAAGATATGGATACCAATTTGCATCTAAATAAATATGGAAGTTATCAAGTATGTTTCACATTTATTAGGGTGATTACATAGTTATAGACAAGACTTACAACTATAAGATTTTAATTACACTATAAACATCATGTTGGAAAGAAATTAGTAACTGGGTTTTTACTTTTTGATCAATTAAGTGTACGTGTACACCATATATTTGGTCGCGGGTTGATAAAAGCGGCATTGTAAGACAGAAATTGATATTATATTTTTACAGTGATAGTAGATTTAAAGAGAAAATAGGTTTTGTTTTGGAACCAAACAGCTTAAACATAATCTCTTTACATCCTTTTCATTTTGTACATGATGAATAAGGTTAAAGCTAAAACTGTTTATAAGATCTGTTATTAACGTCTCTACACAAGATAACAGTAATGTTTTTCAACTATTTGAAAGTTTAAAGTATTCCAATCATATTATATTATTAATACCCTTTTGCTCATTAAGTAGTGGATTTATCTTGATACATGTTAAGTACAAACCTTTTTTTCCAAACTCTTTAAGTAATTGTCCAGAAGGTGAAAACATTAGGATCCTGGAGTTGCAGTAGCCGTCACTGACGTAGAATTTACCTGATGAGGCTACTGCTACATCTGTAGGTTTACAAAAATGAGACTCATCGTTTCCAGGTACAAACCGCTGGCCAAGAACTAAATCTGGTTCTGATGCTCCAGGTTTAAACTTAAAAACCTGTAAATGAAGTTGAATTATCTATCTATCTATATATATATATCTTCTGAGAAAGGTGGGTCTTTTTTCAGTCGATGTTGATTAATTGTGTGCATTGCTGAAGCTAGTAGCTAAAACAAAGGTTTTCAACTGGCATACTTTATTTCATAAAAATAATGTAAAGAAAAAAAACGTTAATACTACAAAGATTAATCAATGCAATTTATTCACAGAGACTTTTATAATAATTGTTGCCTTGGAAGAAACTGTACCCCTTTATAGCATTTCTGTATTTGTGCTTTCTATGAACCCAGCCTTTAAGATTTTCGCTTTAAAACATATAAGTTTGCCATACCTGATGCAAGGCCACATCTGTAAGCCATGTGTTATTATTTTTGTCAATAGTAAGTCCATGTGGCATATAGAATCTGAAATTAAAAGATTACTGTATCTATATTTTTAAGTAAAAAGTCAATGATAAAGAAATATAAGTATGAAAAATACAAGTTTCAAATTACATGCACCTTTAAATACAAACTTACTAGCTTATGTTTTAAAATCTCCTTACTCTGATAGCAAGGACAAAAAACTTTATTTTTTCAGTGCTTACCTTTTCAGCTTATGATTTAGTTTAAATACAGTTGTTAACTGCAGCATAGTGACTCATATAATGGCTCTGAGTTTGTTTTTTTCCAAGTACAAACTTTTAGCTCATATTTCCATCATCTCTTGACTGATTTGAGATCTAATTACAGTTTTGGCCTCAGGAGCTCAAACCCTTTTGATTAATGTATTTGACCATGTCTAAGGTTTCATAGATTAATCTATTCTAATCCTGCTTAAAAGAATTTCATTTTAAGGGTAGGCTAGTAGAGATCCTGATGAGCAATAAAATTGAATAGGGTATTGCTGGCACACAAAAATATAGCTAATAAAAAGAAAAAAAAAGGTCTTGTAGATTAATTTAGTCTAATCCTCACTAAAAGAAGTTCAAGTGCCACAGCTACTGAGGATTCCCTCTTGTATAATTGGATATAATACAGATGTACAACTGTTGACTTCTTTCAGCTAAAGTATTATTCAAAATACATACAAAAATCGATGATTGACATCTGTGCAAAGAATAGGATTTTTTTTGTATTGTTAACAAATTAAAAGTTTTTATATATCACTAAAAACAGTTGACACAGTTATCCATTTTTTTTTAAACTCCTAACAAATAAGTTTACCTGTTTTTTCCCCAGCTGTTTTGGATATCCCCTGTTTTCGAATCAAAGATGATTACTGAATCTACCGATATTGGAGGCTGATCTTGATGTTGGTAAACATTGTTCCAATCAAAAGACCTGCAACATTACATAGTGTTGGAGATAATAAATGTTTAACTGCATGATTTTGAAGAACCAAAAACATTATGAGATACAAATTAAAAAAAAATTAAAGAGAGACAGAATTATCAGTCCTGATTGTACAATGAGACAAAGACAGATATAGCTGGACTTGATTAAAAAAACTGATATATAAAGATGCTTGTGTATTAAAGAAGTTTACACAATGAATGCTACTACATGTTATAACAAACTTTGTAGTTCTACACTTAAAGTCTAAATCTCTCGGTATTTACAAACTGTTTTTCTAAGTAAACATATGCATCCAAAGGATAGCAAAAATAGATGATGACAACTGAGCAATGTTACCATGATAACATGGTACTGGTAATTTTTTAACACAATACTTGAAGAAAAGCTTTTAAAACAAATTAAAGTATTATATTGCAGGATATTAGAACCAGATAAGATGACTGGCATACAAATTCTGTAATGGTTGCCAGATTGTAATTTATGATGTGTTTGGAAAGCTCCTGCATATAGACGTTAAGCTAAAAAATACTTGTATAACTGCTGTCTGTTAAATAACAATAGAATGATGTATCTATAACAATTATTTTATTTTGCTATACATTGTTTAGATTTTTTTTAAATGTTGTTGCTGAAATAGTGACATTGGTTATGATATATTATCACTTCTCACCACCAGATTCCACTACTTTTAGTTATATTGTGTATTTAAAAAAAAGGCCGTAAACAGTGCCAATGTCAAACTATGTTACTAGGAAAGTATTAGATAATATCAATAGATGGCAGAAAGTTTTACAGTTTTTAGACCTGAATTATACTGTACAAGCATAACAGATTGCTACATGTAGTAATCATGAAATGTATTTAAAAATGATATTATGGAAAATTTAGTTTTTTTTTTAGATACGTTGTCCACATTCAGTTAAATTGCATACTTAGGGTTAAAATCATTGTATGATTCCTAAAAAAATATTTAAACTGGAAAAATTGCTTTTTGGCTTTAAAACATAATGTGATCTGCAAATACTAGAGGACATATCCCAAAATGCATGTATGACCTATACTAATAAATGACTGTATTATATGACATTATATTTGAACCGTTGTACATTTATTACTTTGTTGATAATTAATCACAATTTTTCAATGCCTTCTTTTGTAACTTTTTTAATTGTGACTAAATCATTAGTAGGTTTTGAGTTAATATTTTTTAAAATACAAAAACGCATGTATATTCTTGCAAATGTGTAATATAATATTTATCAGATCTTCTGAGTGAAAGTAAAGCAGACTGTGTAATAATGTATCAACCACATTATATCTGCTAAATCCAGTGCCAATGAGGCCTTTCACCAACTACCAGGGTTCTTCAGGCTGGCTGTGGTATAATGTATAGACATAGTAATGGTTTAGATACTATTTATATTAGCAAATTGGTTGGCAACAACTGTTACAGTGTGAATTGAATTAAGTTACTTTAACAGAGAGTAAATTAATATATTGAATTTTTATGTTCGTATGTATGTATCTGAGAAAGGGATTAGAAACAAACAACCCACTTAGCATCCCAAACTACATCACCACGATGAAAAACATGCACACGTCCAGCACTGTCCACATCAACCCCTGCAGTTTGTCCTTTGGGAAAGGTTTGGTTTTTTGGCCATCCTATTACTTCAACTGGATAGTCATTAACTTCATTTTCGTGGCTGGCAACCTACAATGAGGATCCAAACTTTGCATCAGAACTATTTTTAAGTTTATAGTGAAGCAGGAGCATCTAATCTCTTTGTTTATTATCTATATGTGTTAAAAATAATACAGAGTGAAAGCTATACAATACAAAGTTGGTATTGCTTAACAGTTTCAATACTGTTGGCATAGCTTAACTATTAAGTGTTGTTGGCAGAGCTTAAGAGTTCATTTATTATACTATTTATATTTTAATTCTGCTTGTTGTGTGAAACAATGAAATACCATGGGATTATTAATATTCATGTGTATATAAATATTCAATAAAGGTACAAATTTGATCTAAGAACATTCCTCTTTGAAAGTTCCACCATTGAGTCTCTACACGTTGATGATACAACTAAAGTAATAAAGATACTTTCAACTTGACAGCTGTTTCTTTTATTCATTTTCCTACTTGTTTCAGTATGGCTCAACTTGCTCAGAGTTATGCATGCATGTTACCATAATATAACTGCTAAAATAATGTGATAGTTCAAATTGCCAGAACCCATTTTAAAGGATTTGCAAGATATAGCTGAAGACCTATGGCCCAAATTTTGAACTTTACTCAAGTTCAAAGGTTATTAAGAATGATATAACAAGGTGAATTACTCATGTGGTTCAATTACAAAACCATAGTGAAAAAAACAATTTGTTTAACAAATATTTATATTACTAGATTGCACAGAGTAAATCATTTTAAGAAAGTTTCAGCCATATTTTAATCACAATTTTAAGAATTGTTGTTGAATTCTCTCAAATAATTATTAAAAAAAATTAACTTTGTGTAAGACTATTTGTTTCAGATTATTCCAAACTTCATTATATTGAGAATCTGTAGAAATATTTATAGTAAAATCAAAACTTGAATAATTATATACAGTTATATTTTATGATCAAGGCCTTGTAAGAGTAAAGGCAAATAAATTCAAAACATGTGCATTTATTACTGTGCTTTTTATTTCTACATAGAAATGGTGTGCTAATATCAACCTGATGTCAGTTTTTTAAAGAACAACTGTCTTGTTATCTTAATTTCACATGACAGATGAAAAAAGTCCTTAGTAAAATAGATAACAGTTCTCAAAAAGGCTAGTGAGCTGAAAACATTAAAAAATTTTCTTAAACTTTTATATATTCACAGAAAATATATCTTTCATAAAGCATTTTCATGAAATTTGATAAGTAGACAGTTTAAATATAATTGCTTTTATCTGGTTTCTCATTGTATATGTAGTCGATATCTTAAGAACCTTTGAGGTATAACTTAAATACACGTAAATTAAATTAGACAAAAAATGAGAGTTATAGTGAATGAGTGAAAATATGTTAAGCAATAAGCATTAAAAAAAAGCCTATTTCATAGACTAGGTATCAGTATGTTCTCTCACTTTTGCTGAATGCTAGTACATATACTATAATAATTATTTTTTAGAGATAGAAGATTATGCATTACATAATTAAAATGGGAAATTCAACTTTGACCATAAATTAAATAACAGTCTAGTTTTACCAGTGTTTTGGTGGCAGTGATTAGCACTTGTTTATGAGACTTCTAGTATGTTCTTTTATCTTTAAAACTTTGAGATATTTGTTGAGAAGATTACATGTGCTAGGTTTATCAATTTATGGAAAAAAGGTAAAATAAATTAAATTTCTTTGTTGTTCTTTTTTACTTTAGTAAAAAGTTTTCAGTCTTTAACAATGGTTTAAATGTTATCATGTCCAACCTAGATTTAAATAACTCATACTCAGTAATTAATTTCATGTGGTGTCCCACTTCTGCAGCAATACACCCCTGTACAGGATTTGAATGAAATATTTCTAGGTGTATGTGTGTGTGAGGGATTTAATGTTTTGTTTTCAAGTCTATATTCAGAAGAATTGTAAATAAACTCAACCCCCCCAATTACAAAATAACTGCCTGAGCATCATTCACTGTGCATATCATGAGGTTTTAGTGACTTACATTCCAAATTTTATTAAACTACTCTTTATTTATGTTATACCAATTGGTATAGGATAAAATCTTAGCTAATAATCCATATTTTAATAGTATATAAGTTATAAGTTCTTAATTTTATAAGGCAATATTTTAAAAAATCCTGAATTTCCCCTAGTGTGACACATTTTCTCTAGGCATCTTCTCTTCTCTATTTTATTCACCACCCCTCTAACAAGTACGAAATTAAATGTTAGTTTCTCACTATAAAATAGCAAATTTTAGGCAAGGGTTCTACCTACCTAACCACTTCGTAATTCAAGCCCAGCTCCTGAATGTATATACTTAACAGACTTGTGACAATCATGATTTTGTTTAGACAATCCTTATTTGCATACTAGAAGTTAGAAAAAACTGAAAAATGGTGTTCAATACATATGTAAATGTATATCCTATGGAAATATATGTATTACAACATTGTATGTTCAACTAAGATAAAATAAAGCTTGTGTAAATGAGTATTCTTCATTGGTAGTTATAAAAGTTATAGCTTACTGAATTTTCTGAAGCTACAAAAAAATTCAATAAACGTTTTTTTTTTCGTAAATATTTTACTTACAATTTTTTAAGTGCACAAATATGATTTTTTTTCATAATAAATTCAAATAAAACGTTAATAGTATGCAACATAATCAAGAAGGACCTCCATATGGAAAAGTGAAAAGTTCCTTTTATGATGTAATTCATTCAACCATTGCATACTTCAAGCAGCCATAGAATGAAACAGGTATTCATTTTATTCTATATGAAGACTGTATAAGTCGCTGGATAGAATTCTGTACAATCTGTATATTAAAATGACCACTGGGAAACTGTCAGCCTCATACACTAAATGGCTTATGAAAAGTCTGCAGAGAGGAGGGTTATGTCTTAGACATGACAGCGGTAGAACAGGTCCTTTTGCAAAGGTAACTACACTGTAGGACTATTGTTAAGAGCAGCAGTCGTTAGACAAAGTATCACCGGAGGCTCCAAAATCGTTTTAATTTAACGTATCCAAACTCTGTATAAGTAATCATATTTGACTGAAGTGTAAAGAAAAAATATGGGGATTGCTATTTATCCTGTTATTTCATTCAAACTTTAAGTTCCCTCACTACGACGATGCAATGCGCGTATTTACAGACATTTTTTAGCTTGTGCTCTTTTTAGATTTGTTTATGATCTATACTGATATGTATTCTTTGTGTAAAAAAGAAAGAAAAAAGAGGATGAACTGATGGTATTTTTATATTCTTTGAAATTAGTATGTTCACGTTTAAATATAATCAACAACACGTGCGTAAATGTTATTCATTCATATGAATTTGCTTTTGTTTCGTTTTGTTTTAGCGCAAAGCTACCCTATGGGATATCTTTTGGTGTGCTTACGACGGGCATCGAAACCAGGTTTTTCATGCTGTAACTCACACTGAGCCACGGGGGAAAGAGATATTCTAATGAACAATATTAACTCAATCATTAGTACTTCCATATAAAGTCAGAACTTATTATTAACATTATATTAAACACTTATTTCAAAACTTACAAACAAACAAATAAAAAATACTATTAACATTAAACTTTCACGTGACGTTAGACCTACCCCTGCTAAAACATCAGTACAAAAGCTAAATTAAAAATATATATTAAGCGATTCCACTTGACGTTGCCAGTTATGACCCATAATATTAAAAATATATATTAAGCGATTCCACTTGACGTTGCCAGTTATGACCCATAATATTAAAAATATCTATTAAGCGATTCCACTTGACGTTGCCCGTTATGACCCATAATCGGTGTGTCGCCAAATTATATGCTATTATACACCACCATGTACTAAATTTTATTCTCGTAAAAATTACATTTCTGTCTTGTTTTTTGGCGACCCTGATGTTCAAATTTAGTCCTGTTTCAGTTATGTGAAAGGCTGGACAATTGCTACACTATATTTTGTAATCGTTTCCTGGCGAGGATCTTAATGTGTTGTTACGTCTCTGCTTGTTAATTGATTTTTCGTAACTTCGTTCC